ATATATTGTAATAATATAACATTATTACAATAATGTGTAACATACTATAACATAACATCATGCTAATGACAGGTTTTTAAAGGAGAAGTAAAATCATATATTCTGAGTGAGTTTTATGGCACCTTGGTATGCATTAGAAGAGGCCCCAAGCTGTGTGGAATAAGAACATGTTGCTTCATTTACTTGTGTGCTGTTCCTGTGTGAGTTAAAGTCATAGGGAAATTTGTGATGGAAATTTTGTTTCTATAGTGTGATATTTCTTTCTGAAAACTGAAGAGAATAATGCTGTTTTCTCACTGTGCTTCTGCTTCACAGCTAGCCATTCACCCTGTTTGAAACAAATGTGTAGGGCTTGAATAGCCGAAACAGTGGGATACATTCTGTGTGTACTTTTGTGAAGTTATGTGCATCAAGTGTGTGTTGTATTTTGTTTGTTGGGGTTTTTTTACCTGTTCCAATTACATGTTATTATGTATATAGAGAATCTCTTGGTGAAAAAAAAAAAAAAAAGGAAAAAAGACAAATTTCTTCTGGATGTGGCTTCACTCAGGCCTGTCTGGGTCATTGAAGTGGCCAGTGAAAAGAAAAACAAGCTGCTGTGATCCACTTATACACAAACAGATTAAAAGCATGCATTTATACTTTAATTATATTTATATTTACTTAGAGTGCAATTTTATCTTTAAAAAAGAGTTATGCACTAGTTATTAAAGTATAAGGACTTTTGTGAATTTCTGGATTTGAATACTCAGAATGACACATTTAATGCAGGAGTCAACATAAGGATCTAATCCTATGGTTTGGATATCCTGCTCAGGCATTTGCTTCTGAAATTCTCTAATTCATTCATTACTAGAAGTTGGGAGGAGATAGGGGGCCGGTTAGCTCAGTGGTTTGAGCACGGTGCTGGCAACAAGGACCAACACCGAGGTCGCTCGGTCCCCATGTGTTGCCTGGTCTAGTCGAGAGGTGGCGTCCCTGCCCATGACAGGGAGGTTGGACTAGATGATCTCTAAGGTCCCTTCCAGCCTAGGCCATTCTATGATTCTTCTGTCCTTAATTATTTTCACTTCTCCAATTGATAAAGCCCCTAGCTATTACAGACTTTTTAGTTTGAGCAGCGTGATGGTTCCCATCAGTGACTCCTGGCCAATTCCAGACAAGTATTTCATTTTCAGTGCTAGGAAACATTCACATCAGTTCAAATTATTGCTGTTGGGTTTTGGAGTGGGTGGTTGGTTGGCTGCTTTGTGGATTTTTTTCTTTTGTTTGTTTTATCGTTCCTGTTTCTACTTGCAGGTAACATCATGGTGCTATGGTCAACTTGCAGAACTTCAGTACTTAAATCTGTAACGAACCGTTTCATTAAGAATTTGGCCTGCTCGGGGATCTGTGCCAGCCTCGTCTGTGTGCCTTTTGACATTGCTCTTAGTGCCAGTCCACACTGCTGCTGGTGGATCTATACAATGCTCTTCTGCAGAATTGCCAAGTTTCTGCACAAAGTCTTCTGCTCAGTGACTATCCTTAGTTTTCCAGCCATTGCTCTTGACAGGTAAGGGAGCAGATTTGCCAGGATCCTTGTTTTTTCTTTCTTCTTTCTCCCTTTGAAACCATTTTCTCCTTTTCGTATGTGTCTTGCTTCTTCCAGTGCTTTGCTTACAGTGTAGAGCTTCTTTCTAAAATCTATTGGAATAGTTACTCTTCTCTGTAACATTGAAAACATTAATTTTTTAGTTTACTCTGATATCTCTGGAGATTTATAAAAGGATTTTGAGTCTATAGATTTGTCTTTGGAGAAGTTTTCATCCTTTCTATCGTACTGGTAATAGTTCTTACTCAGTAATGGAACTTGAAAGCAGACAACTTCAGAGTATAGACCAGGGAGACATTTTTAACTGTCAAAGTTGAAAGCCAATGTACCAATGCCTGAGGTAGATTATCCATCAATTTCAAATTTCAAATGTGGATCTGTTTAAAAAAAAACAAACCCAAATAGTATAAATACAACCAGAATTAATTCAAAGAAGTTTTGTATGTACAAGATCAGTTGAAAACAAAACTGGCCCTTTGGACTGTCTTAAGTTTATTTTAAGTTTTTCCATTCATTTTGCTTGTTATTATTAGCAGTCACTGATCCCACTCATTTTGTCAATGTTAAGTTAGATATTTTAAAGGAAGGGTAGATACTGGTTTAATACATTTCCATTACTAAAACAGTGGATTTATATATTATTGTTAATCTGTTATTGTGTCTCACCACAGAATATGTTAGTTCTACAAAAACAAGCTGTATAGCTAGTGAAGTGATATGTCTGTTACTTTAATGTTAATGTCTTGCTAAATGCAGTATCATCATCTGTAATGTGCACCAGTGTTGCCACTGGAACAGCATATCGTTTGCCCTTCCCTAGTAAAACTTATAATCTTCCTCACAAAAAGCACAAACTGCTACAGTTAATAAGGGTAAGTGTAAAAGAATAGGACTGTCCTGAGAAATCTGTGAGCTTAAGAGTCCACAGTAGTAAGCAAACAATGAATCAGTGTCTGAAAATTGAAGTGCATGTCAGAGATACATCGATTTATTTTTTTGTAATGCACACAGAATATTCACTGACTACATTTTTGCTCAGGGCCTTGCCAACCAGAGCTTGTGCAAAGCAAAGCCCTGCTGTACTTCCAGTAGATGGGTGACCAACAGCTTTTTCCAAATATCCAGAGAAAAAAAAAATCTATCATAAAGCAGCTTTTCAGATTGAGTCTGGCCTTTCAGTGTAACATACCTATGTCTCATTTTTTCTGATTTTTTTTTTTTGCTGTGTGCAATATACTGTCCAGTTTACAAGTAAGTAAATTATGAAATTTTCCAAGCAATGTTCATACACATCAGCCAAAGTGATATAGTCCCAATTATTGAAAAAACTGTTCACTACTAGTAATGTGATCCTGAAGTTTGAATATTTAGGGTTTTTGTCTGCTGGACCTTTGGTGTTTTTTTGTTCTCTTAGAAGCAGGTAGTTAGTTGGCAACCCAGTTAGGGACTTGGGGCATTACACTCAGATGGATCCTGAGAGGCTTCTCATAAGTGCTGTGCTCATTATAGACTTCACCCTTTGCATGTTATCACTTGTAATTTTTTATTTTTTTTGGACAGGTACTACTCTGTTTTATACCCTCTGGAAAGAAAAATATCTGATGCAAAATCCCGAGACCTGGTTATCTATATCTGGGCCCATGCAATAGTGGCCAGCATTCCAGTATTTGCCGTAACCAATGTGTCTGATATTTACGCCATGTCCACCTGCTCTGAATCTTGGAGTTACTCCCTTGGCCACGTGATTTACGTCATCATCTATAACGTCACCACTGTGATTGTACCAGTGGCTGTGGTGTTTCTCTTCATGATTCTTATTCGCAGGGCACTGAGTGCCAGCCAGAAGAAAAAAGTCATCATAGCTGCCTTAAGGACCCCTCAAAACACAATTTCTATCCCTTATGCCTCCCAGCGAGAAGCTGAGCTTCATGCCATGCTGCTCTCTATGGTCATGATATTTATTTTCTGCAGTGTTCCCTATGTGACTTTGGTGATTTACCGCACCATACTGAATATTTCAGATATTTCTGTCTTCTTACTCCTCACTGCCATTTGGTTGCCCAAGGTCTCTTTGCTGGCCAATCCTCTGTTGTTTTTGATTGTTAACAAATCGGTACGGAAGTGCTTGGTGGGGACGCTGGTACAGCTGCACCGCAGGTATAGCAGGAGAAACATCGTCAGCTCAGGTGGTGTCACAGATGCTAATCTGGAGCCCAGCGTCCGTTCGGGGAGCCAGCTTCTGGAGATGTTTCATATCGGGCAACAACAAATCTTCAAGCCAACGGAAGATGAGGAGAATGAGACCAAATCCATTGGCTCTGGTGACTTTCAACAGAAGGAAATTCCTACCACCAGTTTGGAGGTAGGAGAGACTTCGGTTCATAAGTTTGTACCACAAATGATTTCAGACTCTGCAGCTCAGGTGGCGCCAGCTGTGCCAACAGAAGCTGATGCGGTAAATGACAAGTACTCCACACAGTTTGGTTTTGGACCCTTTGAGCTGCCTCCACAGTGGCTCTCAGAAAAACGGAACAGTAAAAAGCGACTCCTTCCTCCTTTGGGGAATACCCCTGAAGAGCTAATCCAGACGAAACAGCCGAAGTGTAAAGCAGAAAGGAAAATCAGCAGAAACAATAAAGTCAGTATCTTTCCTAAGGTGGATTCTTAGTGAGAACAAGAGCGTTAAAGTGACAGAGGAAGGTCACCTTCTACTACATGTGTGATCCCATGGATCTTTGTTATGCTGAAATTTGTTACAGGCTGATTTTTTTTGGTGCCAAATATAATTTAAATGAAAAAAGAAAAATGTATATACAAGTGTTCCTTATTAATATGTTCTCATGAAAATAGTGTATCAAAAGATGATGTTTCTTACTTTTCCTATGAAATCCCTACAGTAATGCCAGCCTGATGAAGTTGCAAAACACACATGGCTTAGGGAACCTTTTGTATGGCTGAAGTATGGAAGTACAGCAGTTAAGTTGCTGGGGAACCTCATGTTGTATTAAAATGAACTGGGTATCAAAGGAGGATAGTAGGACAGTAGGAGAGGCTGGAGGGAGCAGAAGACAGGTGCAGAATGGGTAGGTCCTAACCTCCTGTAGACAGACACAGCAAGATTCTGCACATTTCATGGATGAAGTAAAATGGACTATTTAAGTACATCTATTTTCTGTTAAGCTCATTTCTTAAATCAGTGTTAAAAATAAAACTTGCTGGACATTTTGCACAATTTAGTCACCAAGTATCTGCCACACATCTAAATTTTTGAAAACCTAAAGTACTTATTTGGGCTTGAAAATTCAGCAAAACCAAGGATACCCAAATAACCATATGTTTCAAATGCAAGAAAACCTTTTTTAAAAAACGCACCATATATTCTTGTAGTCTTAAGTAAAATCTGGATTGCAGACCATGCAGGACATATCCTGACTCCTTTAGAAAAGTGTGTATGCGCCAAGGGCATAAATAGAACATTTTGATCCTATAATAAGGGGGATATACAAACGTCAAACAGTGTAATGTATGTGTTGTGTAAGGAACCAAGGGGTCAGCCTTAAAATATGACTTAATCTGCTGGCGCACTCTGCTGTTTTCTTACTGGAAAGCTAGCAAATGAAAAAATGGGCCAAAAGTGGTAACAGCCTTTACTGAAGGGCTGGGTGAGGAAGCTGGCAACAGAGCCTAAAAGGCAAGGCCTATTAATGCTGTTGCTCACTGTTGCCAGAGCTAGGGAGGTTTTCTGTCTAACTTCACAGATCTAGATGCCAACTATCCTACTCTACTCATCTCACAGAGCAGACCACCCAGTGTATGAACATGAGACTTTCGCATCTGGTGCCTAATTCCTGGGTGAATCAGTCGTGCCATCACTGGCATCAGCAAACCAGCCTCTCTCAGTGAGAGTTGAGGCATCCTACTGCAGCTCACCCACCCTGCCTCGTCACAGTCACCTTGTCTCGTTTCTGCTGAGTGTGAATTTAAACTATGTCAGTCTGTTAGATGACCTGAAACTATTGTAACCCGGACATTTTAATCCTTGTTCAGTTCCAAGTAGTCTTTCCCTCTTCCTTATCTGCATTCACTGTTGTCTCTGTGGGTAGTTTCTTAAAAGCACTCCTTGTGGTTCTCCTGTGCTTCTGCTTTTTGGTGCGTGCTGAACCTTTATCTGTAGTTACTGCCTGTTTATGAAAGTGAAGTTTTGAAGACTGAAAGGAGACTTCTAAAAGGACAAGGTGAACGATCTCGCTAAGTTCACAGTAACTTACTAAATCCAACTGGTTAATGTTAAAAGCGAGAAAAAAATTCTGCTGAAGCAGCACTTGGAGATGTACCTGTTCTTCCTTTGACACGCTTGAAGAACATCAGCAGCTTCTGATGGCTCCAAGGCAGTGGCTTTCTACATGGCATTAAAGGCAAAATGTTTTAATAAAAACATATCAAAACCAAGTTTATAAATTACTGTGTAAATTATATTTTTCTCTACTTCCTCTGTGGTTGCAGTGCTAGTTCAAGAAGTTATCAGCTTGGAACTGAGGACTAGTCTTCAGCGGGTCCAGGATGGGTGTGGAAACCCCAGCTGCCCTGCTTCTTAGGTACAGAGATGAGAAGGCAGACATAGCTTGCCTGAAATTAAACAGAAGAAATATTCCAGGAAAGCTGTTGCTTGTGTGGCAGAGGTAGAGAAGTACTGTAGCAGACAATTTTTTAAAGTGTTGGTAAAAAGTAATTTAATAGAGTGTGTGTTTTTTCCAGAGCTCGTGAAGAACAGATGCCATTCAAAAAATTCTGAAAGCCTGAAAAATGAAGCAGGAGTTATAGTTTCCATATGAATTTTGATTAAGTTTAATATTTATGGCTCACTTACATAGAGATACTGGTCAAAGTCTCTGTGATTAATGAATGTGGATAAATGGTTATTCAAATCTGAACTCCTTTGGGGAAAACAAACTGACTTTTGCTCTTTTCAGCTCTCACGGTGAATAAAATGCCAATGATAAATACAAAGAGCCAAATTGCTTGGAATTTAATTTTAGTGTATCAGGAAAGCAAGGAGTTTGTGGTGGGTTTTGACATTTGAGAAAAAAAAATTCTTTCAAAAGCGGACACATTTAAGAACTTGCTTGTCTCTCTTTTTTTTTTTTAGCAGACTATATCTGAAGACATTGAAAACTTTCACCAAAAATGTAACTAAGGTGCTTTTCAATACCTGAATAATTATTTGGAAATATTTTATTTTATCTATATGAATGTTTAAGGGAGGTAGAAAAAATACATGAAAGCACATCTTTGCATAGGAAAAATAATCTGTGTGAAATATGTAATACTTCATCTAAGACGTTGTTAACTTTGAGTCATTACTGCTGTCTGTTGGCTTGTTGTTCAGATGATTTCTACTGGGCAAAATGTTCTCCAGCATCCAGTACGAAAAAAATTATAATCGAGACTTTTCTTCTCTATCATCACATTAAAGATAAGTAGAAGTGGAAGTTTTTGTGTTATGATGGTTATTTTTAACAACCAGAGGTATTTGCACGATATATCTTTCTCTGCAGATCATTGATGAAAGAAAGTGAGATACAAAGAAAAGCTGTGGGAATTGAAGAAGTGAAAGCCTGGGGCGATTTGGCCTGTGCGAGTAGATTTAACGGTTAAATCTTACTACGGAAGAATAAACTTGGAGGAGGAGAAGTTAAAAGTCATTATTCTAGCAGTTAGGGGGAAAAAAATAGAAAACGGGGCTCAGATGGGGGACAGTGTCAATTTCCTGTTCCTAAATATCTCAAGAAATATTGTTAAATTCGAACAAAGAGCATGCAAAAAAATTTTTAAAACAAAAAACCCACACAGTCCTTCAGCACCAAATAATGCTATTTTGGTTGGCTCCGTGGCAACAACGTATTTTGCAAAATGGGATAAACTTCCAGAGAAAAGCAGTTGTTTTCTAGACATTCCCCAAACATCCTACTCTGTAACAGATCTAATTGTTATTAAGCTGCAGTAATTTAATGAGTGCATTTGTTCTGATTTTAAAAATACACCTCTAGATAATGTTTTGAAGAAGAGGCTGGCTGGGTTTCAGTAGTGATATTTATTCTGTTCTGCTTCCTATTTCCTAGGAAAATATTCCTGTGTCAGTCGGCTGTATCTTGAAGAACAAAAAGTCAGGCTGTGGCTCTGCATCCATAGGACTGAGACTCAGAAGCTGGTTCCAGCTGAGCAGGAGCCATCCCGTCAGCTGCTAGCTGCTGGGAAGGTAACCAGTTCTGGAGGTGATTTCATCTCCCACAGAACTCTGGCAGTTCCTCTCACACTGCGCAATTTGATAGAGAACGTAAATGTAAAAAAAAAAAAAAAAAGAAAAAAAAGGCAAAATCCCTGCCTTTTTATACATTTTTGATATAATTGTGTAATTGTTCTTTAACTTATGTAAAAGTCAATACAAAATAATCTGTGGGTTTTGGTTTGGGTTTTTTTGACCGTAAAGGAATCCCTGCCCAACTCTATAGATATGGTTGAAGTGAGGGCTTTCAACCTTAACACATTCTTACCCTTATTGTGGCCTTCCAGTATCTCAAGGGGACTACAAGAAAGCTGGTGAGGGGCTTTTTAGGACATCGGGTAGTGATAGGACTAGGGGAAATGGATTAAAGCTAGAGATGGGTCGGTTCAGATTGCACGTTAGGAAGAAGTTCTTCCCTATGAGGGTGGTGAGACCCTGGCACAGGTTGCCCAGAGAGGGGGTGGCAGCCCCATCCCTGGGAGTTTTTAAGGCCAGGCTGGATGGGGCTCTGAGCAGCCTGATCTAGTGGGGGATGTCCCTGCCCATGGCAGGGGGTTGGAACTAGATGGGCTTTAAGGTCCCTTCCAACCCTGACAATTTTATGATTCTATGATTCTCTTCAGAAGACTGCTTTGTGTTTTAGTTGAAGTGACTGTCTCTGTGCCAAAGTAGGGATATTAGTGGGATTTCTAAATGACTTACAATGCTGTCTTCAACTATAAAACTTGGACCACGAGGTTAGTAACTGCAGCAATTTGTAATTCAAGGACAGTTTAGGAATACAAAACAAAACTCGTAGAGTATTGCAGAACCCCAGATGCTCGTGTTCATGAGCAAGTTGATTCTTCCCCTGGTGGACATAGCGGGGGAACAGCAAGAACCAGCCCGAAGCAATACTTGTTCTAGGTCTGGTTTTAAGCTGCAAAACCAGCCAAAAGTGGCGAAGAGTCTGCAGAGGCTGATTTTTCTGATTGCTGTCTTTGGGGACAGCAATACAAGAGCAGGATGTGGAAGTGTTCTTTATCTCAGCGACAGCCCCTCTGCACACGCATAGGAGCATTTCACTTGCTTCTTCTCCGTGAGGAGAAAATGAACTGTTCTTTAAAGAAAGTGTAAGAATTAGAAAATCAGATCTAATTCCTGAATGCTCCTTTGGCAATGTGAGCCAAGGTCTATTAAACACAACAGAAGTTTTACCACTGACTCAACTTAGCATTTTAGTTTAGCCTTTCCTCCTCAGCTGAGGGGATACTGGAAAAGTTGGAATATGGCCCCAAATTCCTAGCATTTTGCTTTTGACTTGGCACATGCCAGTCAAAAGATACTAATACACAATTTATTTGTCCTTTGCGAGAAAAGAGTCTGTTTATTCCTCTAACATTTAG